TGTCTTCTGCCCTCTCCCATTTACCCCTCACTTGACCACCGAGGGGTATTCTGCTTTTTAGCTTTTCCTATCCATTCTTCTTTCATCCTAGGCCCGATTCCCAAACTGCTGTTCCAGCAGTTGTCCACTATTCATGAATCTCCCAATTTACCCTATTAATCGCTCTATTTTCAGCAATCTATAGACTGGTTTTTTAGTACGCCGGTTCTTCTTTCCACGCTTTTTTACTCTTTGGGATTAGCATCAATTGTTCGCTTCCCCCATTATCTCTTTTCCTTCCCTCCCTTGGAACTCAAAGCACCACTGGATCCTCGATTTGTAATCCATCCAGGCATTATCTCTTTCAATCTGTTTGCTAGGACCTTTGCGTACAACTTAGTGTCTTGTGTTCTGACTAGCTGAAATTGGTATTAATAGCCTAGAACACTTGAGAGGGAATCTTCTTCCCTTCTTTTCTGTATGAGCACGATTGGGCTTGTAAAGATTCTACTTTTACTTCCTATCTCTCCAAAACCTAGTGCATTCATGTAGTTTTATTTGAGTTTTGGTATTAAGATTTCACTGAATTTTTTTTAATAGTATCTCACTGTATTATAAACCATCTTGGGCCTGGGCTTTTCGCTATTTTCCCCGACACTGGTCCCCTTTAATGCTAGTTTTATTTTTCCCTGTGAGATATCTGCGTCTAGGGAGTTTAGTTGGTCCTCATTTTAATTTTAATAACCCTAGTTACGCCAATCTTTCTCTGTATTTTTTTTCATTTATCTAAATCTTTATTTTGCTCATAGGGGTGGAGCAGGAGTGGGATATATTTCTGAACTTTTCACGAGAGGGCTATATATTGACACTATTTCCTGTTGAATATTCTATGAAGGCTTTGGTGATTATCTTTCCAATTTGTAGTGGTCTTTCATGTTTTTCCCTTTAGCCATCTTTTATTTTTTTTCTATATAATTTCTATTTTTCTTTTTTCCTATCAGGGCTCTCAATCAGATCACTTTTCCAGGTCTTTCCCCCCCCCATCTATCTTCTCTTCACTTAGACTCTCTATTATATACTTTTTCTCTCTCTCCTCTTCTATCATTTCTTTCAGTTCTTCCTTCTGTTTTTTAACTTCAGCTCTATTTCTTTGTTATTCTATTCTTATGTATTTGTTCTCTAATTTATCTATTTACTTTCTAAGAGCTCATTCATTTTCTCCCTTCTTTCTTTTTTTTCTTTCCTAGCCCCAATCGCCATTAATATTCCTCTTATATAAGCTTTGTGAGCCTACCCACACTGTGGCTGTTTGACACCTCCCCTGTCTCATTCCCCTCCCCCACCCTTAAAAAAGCGTTCGATCCTCCTCCCCTATTTTCTGAGCGTACTATTTCCCTTTCCCACATAAAAGTGTCTCATTCAATTTCCATCCCAGCCCTCCGCTTTTTCCTTCTCCCCCATTCCATTTTCATAGTAACTGGAGCGTGGTCTTGATAAAGTATTATTGTCCTCTATATCTAACCTGGGTCAGATGGTCGATTAATTGATGTTCTATTTAAATATATAATCTAATCTTGAATATATCTCTTGTGCATATTTTGAGGAAAAAAGTATAATCTCTATCTTGCGTGTGTGTAATTCTCCAGGCATCTATTCAGTTGACTTATGTGTAATTCTTTTTTCAATAATTTCACGGGCCTTACTTCCTTCTGTCTTTATATGGGAGGTGGCATCCCTTTGTGGGTCCATACAGAAGTTTAAAATCCCCTGCCAGGATCAAACGTCCTTTTTTAAAGTCATCAACTTCCTCAACACCTTTTTCAGATACTCCCTCCGGTTTTTTTATTAGGCAGTATGATGTTGGCCATGTACACTCGATTCTCTCCTGTAACTTGCCCCTTAATGAACAAAAATCCTCCCATCTGGGTCTGTTTTTCTATCTTCCAACTCAAACCTAACGTTCTTTGCCAGGCCTATTGCTGACCCACCCCTTTTGCTCTTTTAACCGGGAATCTGCATAGTACCATGTTGGGTATTTTTTTGACCTCAGTCTAACATTTGAGCTTATCTCAAGAGTGTGTTTTCCTGTAAAAATATCACTGATGCTTCTCTATGATGTAATTCTTTAAATAATCAGATATCTTTTTCCCGGACAGTTCAACCCCCAGTTATTGTTATATTTATAAAACTGAATCTCTTCCATTCTTCCTTAAATTTCCTCTTTTCTCCTCCATGCTGAGCTATATTTTTTTATTTCTCTCTCCTTCTCCCTTACTCACTTTGATTTTTATATCATCTTTTATTTGCAGAGAAAACAACTCCCTCTCCCATTTCCCACCCTGCCAACCTTCCAACACCCCTCCCTCCCCCCTCCTACCCCTCCCCCCATCTTTTTTAGGCCTAACAATTTGCCTACTAATCATTTATGGATTAAAAAAAATCCCCCCTTTGATATTGATCCTTGGGCTCTCTTTAAAACTCCGTCCATGGACGACTTTCCCCCTTGACTAACCTCCCCCATAACCTCCCAAGCCCCACCTGGATATTATCACTGCAGAAAAATAGAGAGAAGAAGAAAAATGAATGAAAAAAAAAACGAAAAAAATTCCATAACGAAGGCAATAGATGTGGGGAGTAGGTGGCGGAGAGGAGAAGAAAGGGGTTAAAAAAAAAAAAAAAAAAAAAAAACACCTCTCTCCTCCTCCCCCCCTCCCCCCCCTCCACCCCCTCTGGCGCATCCCCCCCACAAATTGCCAGTCCTCTTTTCTCTTATCTATACGCTCTACATTCTTTTCACTCATCGTTCTTCATCCCAGCCAGGGATTTCCATTCTTTGAATTTTTAAACTGTCACAAAAATTTTTCGTGTATCTTCTGGAAACCTAAGGTATGCTGTAAGTCCCCCGTTTTTCCATCCTATTAGGCATTCGGGAGTCCCCCATCTATATTGCACCATTTTGTTCTTTCAACCTTTTCAATAGGGGTCTCAAAGTTCTCCTTTTTCTCCACAAAGTCTCTGGAGCCAGATCCCCGCATATATCTGTATGTCTCCTCCTTCATACTTAATTACTGGATTTTCCCTTAGTCTTCCTCCAGATTTTTTCTCTGTCCCGAAGTATTCAAAAAATTTGACAATTATATCTCTTCGGCCTTTCTTTCCCCAGGTCTCTCAGGACTTTCCCCTTTCTAAAGATTCCTTCTATTTTAGACCTTGCCATTTCAGAGCTGTCTGTAGTAAATGTTAAATATTTGCAAACCACCTCATGCAAGCTTTCTCCCTTTTAGGTTTTCTGAAACTCCACGTTAATCAAGATGTTTCTTGTTCCTGTCCTTTATTTTCTTGTATCTCAGCCTTATATATCAGTTTTTCTTGGACTTTCCCTATATTAATTAGTTTCTTTTTCAAGTTCAGAGATTTAGCCTGGTCTGGCCTTTTAACTTTCCTCCTCCTTGATCCCTCCCCTTCCCTCAATTCTCTCCAAGAGATGTCCCAGATCACTGCGATTATGTTTACCATTTCTTGTTTTACAAATTGTTTTATTGTTTTTCCTCCAGTTCTTTAAACATTTCTGCCATGTCCTTTTTAGTTAAGGTATTTGTAGGTCTTTTTCACCCCGCCTCTGTATTGCCTGATATTTGCTGGTTTACTAGTATCCGGTCCGGGCCTATTGATACTCTAGGGCTTCTTTCCATACTAAGGTCTGCTTCTCCTTTTTCAGATCTGCTCTGAGGTCTTTCTAGGGGTTGCGTTCCTATGGGATGTATATGAGTTTTTAATTGTGCCAGTCTGGACCCTTTAAGCCCACTGTCCTTTTACATTTTGTTGTGTTTCATTTTTCTCTGTGGCACTTATCCTTCTTATAGTCCTTTATTAAAAAAAAAACGGTTTTTTATGGGTAGGCGGGATCATTATTTCTTAAAAACTTTCAAAGTCTCTGCTTTGTCCCCCCTGCTGGTTTATTTTTTTTTTTTTTTTCTCCTTCTCTTCTCCCCTCCTCCTCCATCCCCCCCTCTCCCCCTCCCTTCTCCCCGTAGCCTCATCCTCTTCTCCTCTGCGTGTCTCTTCCCCCTTTTATACAGACTCTAGGGGTATCTCCCCCGTTCTTATATACACTTTTTTAGAGGTCAGCATGATAGATCTTCAAAAAGTGCAATTCAAAATTAGTGTCACTCACCCCCTCCTCCTATGTCTTCATTCCAGTGAGTGCCTTTTCAGTCGATTCCACTGAGGGTCTGTTCATGGGGGGAACTCCCCTGGGTCTCATCAGACTCTTGTCCAGGTTTCAATAGTTCTCCTTTCACGTATTTTTAGGCTCCAGGGTTACTAAGGGGGATAGGGGGAGAGTGGGAGAGTGTGTCGGCCCCCGGCAAACAGGTCAGCGCTGCTCTCTCTCCACAGAACGCCGGCCGGACCGGCTTCCCGGGTCTCCCAGAGGTGCTTTGCGGCCGTGTCACGTGATCGCAGCCGGCCCCTTCTCGTCTCCCAGCGTCCAGGGACTCTCTCTTCAACAATCGCCCGCCCGCTCCTCTCTTTTCCCTCACACACATCAGTCTCATCCTCCGCCGGGAGCCGTCAGATACCGGGTAAGTCCCCCACCGCCAAGGCTCTAAACATGTTCCAGGGGATAAGCTGGGAGGCCTGGGGAGGGTCAGACACCGGAGCTCCGTCCACGAGCTCCTACCACTGCCGCCATGTTCAGGCTCCGCCCCCCAGAGGGTTTCGTTAAATATAGCATGGTTTATTAATCTTCTGCAGACTGTCAATGTAAGCTGTCTGCTCATACTTTGTATGGGTAGGCAGTTACACAATGACAGCGAAGAATCAATGAACTACCAAGAGCGCTCACCAGAGTCCTGGTAGTTTATTGAGAACTACAAGCCATCAGCCGCAAAGGCTGATGGTAGTTCTCCCATTCACAGAACTCTGTGAATGAATGATGCAGCAGAGTGAACGGAGCCCCGCATGTCCACGTTTTTTAAAATTGCAACGATCTGTGGGAAGAAAAATCCCAAGACCCGCTGTCACAGCAGGGGCGGACTGACCATTTGCCACTCGGGCACCTGCCCGAGGACCCGGGGTCAGTAGGGGGCCCCATGAGATGCCCCTGGTACCTTTCATTGCTTTTTTGGGTGTGGTTTGTGTGTGGGCAGGACACAGGGGGGGGCCCCATGATTTCCTATTGCCCAGGGGCCCCATGAGTTGTCAGTCCACCCCTGTGTCACTCAGGGTAGGGGGGGATTCAGGACTGAGAGCAGCTGCAGGAACTGAAACATTGTTTCATTATCCCACCCTAAAAATGGGTGGAACATGTACCATTTTCACCAAGGTAAACTTTTCCTTTAAAAGGAACTTCAACAATACTCAAACCCTTTTAACTATTAGAATGTGTTGAGCTCTTCTGTAGCAAGGCCCTCTTTACCCTCTTGTATTTTATTGTAATGTAACTGTACTGTCTCCCCTGATATTGTAAAGCACTGAGCAAACTGTTGGCACTATATAAATACTGTATTATAATAATAATATTAACTATAAAGGATAATTTTATTTGACATGAGATGAATTAATGTGGCACTCAGCTTTCCAAACCACTTGCCCTCTTGTGGATTTACCCCCCTTCCTGACTAGTCCATTTTTTGCGATACAGTGCTGTGTTACTTTAACTGATAATTGTGCGGTCATGCAACGTTGCACCCCAAAAGAAACTTATGTCCTTTTTCCAACAAATAGAGCTTTCTTTCGGTGGTATTTGATCACCTCTACGTTTTTTATTTGTTGTGCTATAAAAAAAAAAAAAAGACTGACAATTTTGAGAAAAAAAACTATATTTTTCACTTTTTGGTATTAAAACATGTCCAGTAAAAAAATTTTGAAAATAAGATTTTTTCATGAATTTAGGCCAAAATTCTGATACATGTCTTTGCAAGAAAAATCCCAATACGTGTAAATTAATTGGTTTACGTGAAAGTTATAGCATCTACTAATGGCGGTATATAATTACTGGAATTTTTTTTTATACTAGTAATGGCGGCGATCAGCTACTTATAACGGGAATGCGGCAGGCATTCGTACACACTTGGGAAACTGACTTGATGACACTGACATCCTCGGTGACACCAAACTGTGATCAGTGCTAATAAAAAGCACTGATACTGTACTAATAACACTGGGCAGAAAGGGGTTAACATGTGGGGCGATCAAAGGGTTAACTGTGTGCTGTGTGTGTTTTTACTGTGTGAGCATTCTATGCAGAGAGATACAAAACAGTGTGCAAGAGCTGACAGGAGAGAGATCTGTATTGTTTATACACAGTTCTCTCCTCCATCAGTGATACTCGGTGATCGCCAGGTGACAGCAGGGAATCACCGTCTGGGACCCAGTGATTGACAGCTGAGGCAGCCAATGGCAGCACTGGTAAGGCGGCGCGCACATGCCCCCCTACCAGGAAATGCAAAATTATGTACTGTATATATATGTGATTTTGCTCAGCCCTGCCGCCCTGTAGCAGCAGAGGAAAGAGGTTAAATAGATTTATGACCATTCCCAGATCTCTTACTCTCACCTCACCTCTTCCCCAACCTCTATCCCCCTTCCATAGCCCATATTTCTGAACCTTATCTGGCTCACTGTCTCACTTTTTATTACCCTGTGCTTTTTTCTTTCTTTTAATGGATTGTTATCCTTGTTGAAAGTTACCTAAATTGTAAGAATAACAGACATAATCACCAGGGACATACATTTTGTACTTCTAAATATGAATTTCTACATTTAAAGTTGCATTTTTGAAAGCTTAATTTTCCTACCTCATCCATATAACATGTTTTTCAACCACTTCAAGTCCGGACACTCTTACCTCCTTCCTGTCCAGGCCCATTTTCAGCTTTCAGTGCTATCACACTTTGAATGACAATTGCACGGTCATGCAACACTGTACCCATATGAGTTTTTTTAGCATTTTTTGAGACAGATAAAGCTTTATTTTGGTGGTATTTATTCACCACTGGGATTTTTTTTTTTTGCTATATAAATGAAAAAGTCCAAAAATTTTGAATTCTTCTTATAAAATTTTACAAATAAATAATCTTTCTTCATAAATCTTGGCCAAAATTTATTCAGTTACTTTTTAGTAGAAAATAAATAAATAACCCAAATTAGTTTATAACTAACAATTATAAATTTTAAAAGGTAGTTTTTTACATTTTTATTAAATTTTTTTTATATTATTATTTATGTTTGTTTTTATTACATACTGTCACCCTAGCAGTACAGTGTCACCATGGTGACACTACTACTTGTGGGGCTTATGAAGTTTTTTTTTTTTTTTACACTGATTGCTTTTACACCCATAAAGGCTGTAAAAGCCATAAGTTTTTAAAAGCAATCCCGCTCATTTCTCCTTCTCTCTGGCTGCATTCTTGCAGCCATTGAGAAATACTGTGTGAGTTGTGATTGGTCACAGCTTGTCACGTGGTACAAGGCTGTTGTGAATAGCCTTGTACCATGTGACCTCTGTGATCATTCACAGATTTCACACGTAGTAAGCAATGATGTCAGAAGTGACATCTTGCTCACTACTCTTCATGTGATCACTGATTGGCCAATCAGTGATCACATGATTGGGACCTCGCACAGAGGTTCCGTGCAACGATCGGTGTTCCACTGTGTTCGGAGAACACAGTGGGCACTGGATCATGGTGCTGCACGCTCCCAGGGAGCGTTCACAACCAGGGGGCGGGGAGGCGTTTATAAACGGCCACCCACCCCTGCACTGCCACCGTCCGGCCACGTTTATATACATGGGCCAGATGGGAAGTGGTTAACAGTTACATCTTCTATATGGAAACTAAATGCAATAATTTGTCTAAGAATACCTAGCCAGAGATGTGGGGAATAGACTCTTGTTCCAATCAACATAGTGACAAGGTGCTTTGCAAAGTAGGCTGCATACTTGGATAAAAGTCCGAGACAGATTTTGGGGGAACCTTAATTTTTTTTTTTTTGTGTGGGGTTTCCTTTTGAAATTTTTACCAGATCCTTATTTAGTATAAGGATCTGGTATGGATTTAGGGGGAGCCTGTTTTGTTTTGCACAGCAGCAATGCTTGGTATGGTGCACAAAAGCAGCCAATTATTGAAATTAAAAAATTAAATATTAATTTATAAATTAAAATAAAAAAACAAAAAAATAAAATTAAATTAAATAAAAAAATTTATAATATTAAAATTAAAGAAATTTAAAATGCAATAATTTTAAATGAAAAAAATAAAAATAATTAATAAAAAAAAATAAAAAAAAAAAAATAATAAAAATTAAATATAAAAAAAAAAAAAAAAGCCTCCGATGTCCTAGCAGATAATGATGTCATCAGTTGGGGCCAACTCACTCAGTGCCCCTGGTTTCCAGGAAGCAGGTGGACACAAGCATCCTAATAACGAAGAATTGGGAAGTCATGTATTTAATTCATTCATTTGACCATTTGATGAACTGTGACGTGATGTAAAGACTGGGTCAAACTCTACATGGTTGTGAACTTGAATCTAATCCCTATTAACTACATCTTTTATAAGCATCACAACTACTTCTGCCACTACTAGTATTGATAATAAAAGTACTACAACAATACCTGTATAATTACTCATACTACTGCCATTTATTACCACTACTACTCAATTATTATAACTGCTCCAGCTGCTGTATAGCCTAATGTTATGACAGCTTCTACTTTTTTCTATTACTGTTGTTTATAATTCAGTTTCTATTATTAGCAAAACATTAAAATGAAGGTGTGATTAGAAAGAAATGTGTATTATATATACTGTATACACACACCCACACACACACTGGGCTTATAAAAAGAATTAACCTACTTGGGCATTTTCATGTTTTATAACCATTGAAAACTGAATCACTGTGGATTGTATTCTTTTTTTTTTACACTCTTTATTGTGAAAACAGATCTCTGCAAAATTAATTAAATTAGTTACAGGAAATAACATAAAATAGCTGACTGCATAAGTATACACCACTTCATATCAATCTTTAGCAATTGTACCTTTATTTTCACACACATTCCCTAATAGTGTGAATAGGCCTCTATCAAATATGCACATGTGGACACACTACCAAAGATTAGGTTGCATGGGGGGTCTTAAGCAAACAGCTTTTTTCAGCTCCAGCCCACAATTCTCTATTGGACTGAGTTCTGGGCTTTAACTTGCACATTCCCATTAACCATGCTTTTTGGCTTTAAATTTGGGGTCATTGAATTGCTGGAAGACAAATCTTAAGCCAAGACTTAGGTCAGGTTATCTTTCAGGATTTCCCAATATTTTGCTGCATACATTTTACCCTCTAAAGAACCTGCTGCATAAAGCATCCCTACAGCATGTGACTACCTTCATAATACTTTCGCTCTGCAAAATGTGTGTTTATGCCAAGAATTAGAATTTAATCAATTAGACAAAAAAGCCCAGTTTTGGTGTCATCAGATGAGAACCTTCTTTCACATGACTTTACGTCTCTCATTTTCCCTCTAGCAGCGATGCCATGTTAGTTATTTAGCAGTGACTTTCTTTTGCCACCATTCCACAAAATTGCAACTGGTGAAGCACCCTGGCAATAGTTGCTGTATGCATAGTCATTCAGGCTTCAGGGTTGTTATATATGTCTTTTGGCTACCTCCTTCATTGTTCCCCCAGTGGCCACTTGGTGTTGGGCCTTTTCTTGGCAGATTCATTGCTGTTCCATTTTTTTCTATTTCCTTATGATGGCTTTCTTGGAAAGCCCCCTTTTATCAGCTACAGAGACTGATGAAATGAAGGTTTACCCAGAAACTCATTCCTGCATAGCACTAGACTTTGGTGTGACATCATTCCAGTGGGTGGAGCCTGAGAGCGGCCAGCGTTGGTTTCTTTAAAGCTTCAGACCTTCTGTTGACATCTGAGGATTTCACTACTAAATCTGTCCAGGGCAGATCAGGATCTAGAAGACTCACACTGGCTTCCTGTCAAGCTGTACTACTCCAAGACTTTGATATGAGCTTTCGTTTTTGTGAGTGCAATATACTTATATAATATAATATAATATGTTTTAATAAAATTCATTGCTTTAATGACTGCATTCTATGCTTTGTTTGTGCTGGTTTATCTCCTTTTTGTCTTTTCTGTTTTTAGTGCTGCCTTTACTATGCTATGACTACAGCCATATCCATACACCCATGCTAGTGTATAT